TATAAATTTGCAGAGGTAGTTCAATGGTGGTTAACTGTAGTTGTTAGGTTAAAGTCGCCGGCAAATGTCACAGTTTCACCTAATGTGATGGCTTCTTGATTCTTATGCGTACCAAGCTAGCCCTGAACACCATAACTCATGAACTGTTTGAAATCAAACCGTAATTTAACACTTCATCATTATGTTAGGACGGAGTGTTGAGCGCTTTGGTAGGCTGTGCTGTGAATTACCAAATACAGTAAATGACTTACGAAAAGGTTAGTTATGATTTGGGACACCCAAAAGTGTCATTCGTAGTGATTCAATGTTACTTGGTAATGTTGTTGATCATCTAGGAGATGGTTTTTCCTGGTTGTTGTTCCAAATTTATCACCACTCAACCAACTGAGCTACCCGTGCGGGTGGAGCTAACTTTTCCTAAATTGTGCTATCAGTCTACGGAGTATTATTTTAGTCTTTTTTTGTAGTTGGTTTATAACTTGGTGACTTCTTTTTATAGTTGGAAATAAAGTAGTGAATAAAAGTATCGGCCCAACTTAGAATTTATTTCAGGCCAGTGGATCTTCCAATCTTGGCAAATCGGGCCTATTATATGGATATGTATGGAATTCCCTCTTTTAAATTTCTTTAGTTGTAATTGTCAAATTGGGCTTTAGGGAGGTTTTGGTTTGGTCCTCTCTCTGTTGTGTTTTTCAGAGGAATACCTCTGAAGGGAGGTTTTGGTTTGGTCCCCCTCTCTTTTTTTACTTCGCTTACTTCTAATAAAATTCTGGCAAATGTCCCCCGGCATTTGCCCCACTGATTTTGGTGGTTTGCCTTCCGGGGTATAAAAAAAAAAGTATTACTGTTTATTCACGCTAAGGAATTCTGGCTTCGGGAAGGGGACTCCAACACCCGGTTTTCCCACAATCCTGTCAAGCAGAGGAGGGTGAGAAATAAAATGAAAGGCTTGAGACGGGAGAATGGTTTCTAGGAAGTTGACAGAGGGGAGATGGCTAACATAACAGGGGATTATTTTTCCCAAATTTTTTCCTCTATGCAGTGTGTCAGGGAACCAGTCTTCGCGTGCATTGAACGAAGAATTGACGATCATCATAATGTGGATTGCTGCGTCCTATCCGGAATGATGAGGTAAAGAAGGCTCTTTTTTCTATGATTCCGGATAAATCACCGGGTCCAGACGGTACGAGTCCTGGTTTTTACCAACATTTTTGGGAGACAGTGGGACCGAATATTGTGGAGTTCTGTAAGATGGTCTGGTCATCGGGTAAATTGCCGCATGGTATTAATCATACTCATATTGTTTTAATCCCAAAAAAGGATCAACCGGAAAATTTAGGCGAATGGCATCCTATCGCCCTGTGTAATGTAGTGTACAAGATTTTTGCTAAAGTATTAGCTAACAGGCTAAAGGGGCTGTTGAATTACTGTGTGTCTGAGCACTAAAGCGCGTTTATTCCAGGAAGGTGTATTGTTGATAATATAATGATAGCTTTTGAATCACAACACTACCTAAAACGCAAGCATCAAGCTCGACATGAGCAAAGCATATGACCGTGTTGAATGGTCCTTTGTGGAAGGAATGATGCAGCAGCTAGGTTTTGCAGAGAGATAGACTCGTCTGGTTATGGAGTGTGTCCGCACAGTCACTTATGTTATTCCTTTTGATGGTAAGGAGATCGGCCCTATTTATCCCACACGAGGCTTACGGTAGGGTGATCCTCTATCTCCATATTTATTTCTTCTGGTGGCTGAGGGACTCAGTGCGCTTCTTTGTCGACAAGAAGCGATTGGGCGACTACATGGTCTAGCGGTGGCCAAGGGTGCTCCGAGAATATCACATCTTTTATTTACACATGACAATCTACTCTTTTTTCAGGCGAACCACGGCGAGGCCTCAGTGATCAAGGAGGCGCTCAAGGATATTGAGATGGCTTCAGGGTAGGTAATTAATTTCCATAAATCTAAATTATTCTTCAGCGCTAATGTTTCGGTGGATGTACGGGAGGGTTTGATTGAGATGATGGGGGTAACTATAGTTGGTTCCGGGGAAAAATATCTGGGATTACCTGCTCTGGTTGGGAAAGGAAAAAAGGAAATTTTAGGTTATTTAAAACAAAGAATAATTAGCCGAGTCCATAGTTGGAATAATAAATTTCTCTCGAGAGCAGGGAGAGAGATTTTATTAAAAATGGTCATTCAGGTTATGCCGACATATACCATGAATGTTTTTTCCTTCCAAGTGAATTATGCCGGGAACTAGAGGTGATTATGAACGGTTATTGGTCTAGAGGTGATTATGAACGGTTATTGGTGGTACGGGAGGAATGGGAAAGGAATTAGGTGGAAAAGTTGGGAATGGTTATGTCGACCAAAGAAGTTTGGTGGACTAGGGTTCAGGCATCTACGTAAATTCAACATAGCTATGCTGGCCAAACAGGCGTGGAGACTATTTTTAGAACCTAACTCTTTAGTCTGGAAAGTTTTTAAGGCCTTATATTTCCCGAAAGGCAATTTTTGTCCGCTAAAATTGGTAAAAAATACTTCTTTTGTTTGGAGGATTATAATGGAAGCTCAAGGGGCGATCATGGATGGGTATAAATGGTAGGTTGGAAATGGAAAAGACATTAATATTTGGGAAGATCCCTGGTTACCAGATGAAAATAATCCAAGAATTATTTCTGATACCATACCAGGGTTAGACCAAGCATTGGTGAATGGCTTGATTTCTCAACAAGAGCTTACTTGGGATGATGACATTTTAAGAGATATTTTTAATGATTGAGATCTTTCTCTAATTAAGAGCATTCCCCTTAGTTGTCGTGATGTACCAGATAAAAGAATTTGGAGGTGGGAGGTGTCTGGCAAGTTTTCTGTGCACAGTTGCTATACGCGGCTTACAGGAGAATTTCAACCCAATGGATGGCTTGGCTGGTCGGACATATGGAATTGAAAGTTATTGGCAAAAATTAAATCCTTCTTTTGGCAGCTATGTAGTGATTGTTTACCCACGACGACAAAGCTTCGACAAAGGCGTGTGGATTGCCAGGAAATGTGTGGTCTATGCGGTGTAAATGATGGGTCTCTTCTTCACCTATTTGTCCGATGTCCGGTAGCTATGGAAGGATGGAGTTCACTTGGTTGGTCAGGGATCGGGACTCAGGCAGCCAGTTTTATGCAGTTGCTTGAGGTGGTTTTTTCGACTAAGAGGAAACCTGATTGTCCCTGATAGAGGTAAAAGTCTTGAGGGGGGGTGAATAGACTTTAAAAGCTTTTTCAACTTTAAAAACTTTTCCCTACTAGACAGATTGATCTGTAACCTTTTGGGAGATTATAGATGCACAGCGGAAGTCTTAACCTCTATGTAAACAGTGTATGACAACTTTCTATTTATAGTAAGTGAACAAAGGAGTTTGTAAGAACAATCAGATAAGTCTCATTATATCTAAATAAGTCAAATGAAGTATTTGAATGAGATTTAAACTTATCTAGAAAGGCAGTTGCCTTGGCAGTTGTGTAAGCAGTAGTCTGGGCAGTAAAGTAGTCGATAGAGTACTGCTGAGGCTGCTGCGGAGTAAAGAATTGATTTTCTGGATTGTGATTGATCTGGGATGTTTTGGAAGACTTTATTATAAGGCTTTACTGATATGGAGATTTTTCAAGAGAATATGTAGAAATGAGCAGTGAGTTGTGTAGTGGAGTGAGCAGTAGAGTGAGTAGTAGGGTGAGCAGTAGACTACTGCCGAGGTAACTGCTAAAACCTCTGCTTAGTGTAAGAAGTGTTTTGGTGTGTACTTTGTTGACTGAAAGTAAATCAACACACAATATATCCTGGTTCAGGGGTGGTGTAATCCTCCTACATCCAGTCTCATCCTCTTTCAGATGGATTTTCACTAAAGTATTAACTCAATACACTTAGTGCCAATCTAGCCTTTTTCTCACAACTGGCTGATTGAAGGTGTTTCACAAGGAGTACACACCACTCCAAGCTACTCAATCCTTAGGTTTTTCTCAATTGATCCAGTGGGAATCAAAAGGTACTCTATCCTATCTATCCACACTTATAACTTGCTAACACAGTTCTTCTAAGTGTTTACAACAATTTATGATATACAAGAAAAATTCTAGCCTCCAACTATGAACTAAACTTCCAGAATATAGCAATGTGAAGTTCTAACTTGGAAGTTTAGTGAAGCATGAGTCTGAGCAGAGAGCAAAGTTAAACATGCACTTTCTCTTTTGTTAGATATCTCTTAAATGTTCAGTAAGATTATCTCTTAATTTCATCCGTTTGTTGAGATGAAACCATCTTGAACGTGTTGAAATACGTCTTCTTGTGCTGGAGCAGATATTGTTGATTTCTTTGTCCTCACTGATTAACCACTGAAAGATCAATTCAAAATCAATCTTCATGATTTTGTGTGTGTGTCCCATACTCTTAGGCCCATGTACTATTTGAGCATTAAATGCTCTTCAGCTTTGTCTTCAATCATACACGTATAGTGTTTCGTGTGTGTCGTGTATTGCTTTGGGCTTTACTGATTTGTGACTTCAACATTTTGTATCAAATAAAATTTGTACTGGTAGGATCTTAAATATCCTTTTAAGGTAAATAAAATTGACCTTATTGCATTTTAAATTTCCAGTAAAATTTATTTGGTACAAAAGTTGTACATTTCAATTTGTCACTTTTGACCAGTTGATAGTGTACTTTTGTGACTATTTAATTTATGTGCCAAATAAAGTTATACTGGTAGGATTTAAGTATCCTTTTAAGGTAAATAAATTTTTCCTTATTGTATTTTAAATTTCCAGTAAATTTATTTGGTACAAAAATTGTACATTATTAATTTGTCACTTCGGAGTAGTTGATAGTGTACTCCTTTCATTTTACTACATCAATCAACTTTTGACATGGTCACTAAAAATAGGAACACGAATCAATCATACAAGAGCTTAGTATAGTGGCATCATATGAATCTATCAAAATTGGGTATTAACAATTTCCCCCTAATATTGAGGGAGTTGCTTGGAGTTGCTCGGGTTTATGGGGAGAGCGTAATGCTCGCATTTGGCAGGGTAAGGCAACCAGACCAGCTCGGGTGATGTCCAACGCTAAGAGTTATGTGGAAGCTTGGCTTGAGGTGCGGAATCAGAGAGGTGGTGCAGCAGCAGTAGGGAGGTCGCAAGGAACTCACTTGTGGAAATTGCCTGGTGCAGGGTGGCGTAAGCTCAATACTGATGCACCAAGGCGGAGCTTAGGCAGCGGGCTTGGCTGGGCCGTGCACAATGATGAAGGTAACTTCGTGACAGGAGGAGCGGGACCTGGGCGGGGATGCTATTCTCCATTGGAGGCTGAATTACTGAGTATCCGTGAGGCATTGAGCTGGATTAAGTCTCAAGATTGGGAATATTTGGAGGTTGAATCAGACTCTCAACTACTAGCGATTTCAGAAATTCTCAACAGTTCGAGTGCAGCGGCAGCAGGTCTTCTAGCTGAAGATATTCGTGATATTAGTAGATGCTTTTCTAGTATTACGTTTTCATTTGTTAAACGTTAGTTCAGCGAACAAAGTTGCTCACGAGTTAGCTAGAGTAGCTTGTTCTATGTCTGATCGTCAGGTCTGGGTTGATAATCCTCCGACTTGTATCACCAATGTTTTGGACTTCGATTTGATTAATGCTAATTAATTATTTTCCTTTCAAAAAAAAGTATTACTTTTTATACTTTAATGAATATAATAGCACTTCTATTGATTATTATATTCTCATATTCATTTGATTAATATGAAGGGGACAATTCTGTCCCTCCTGAAATTGATTACAGAGAAAACATCACTTCATAAATCATTTGGGAGTTCTCCCTCATCCCCCTGGTTTCAAGTTAGTGTAGTTTTTTCTCCTATTTGTTCACGTGTACTATGTTGTGTTAGTGAGAAAGAGAGATGAGGGCAAGTACTGTTATAAATAGAAAGTCTGTGTTTTTAAATTAAAAAAAAAATACTCATATTCAACTTTTGTCTATAATTTTTATTTCAATAATACGGAGTAATATTTAAGGACAATCTCTTATACATGCGGTTGTGCTAGTGAGGTATTGGAATGTGGTTTTAATTTCCTAAGGGCAAGTATATGTCGGGTTCGCGACTGGCAGGTCTGTGATGTCCAAAATTTTACAGAATTTGGCTTTTTGTCAAGTTCGATATAGGATATATTAGATCCGACATCAAGTTGATTCAGTATTTAAAAAAAAAATCAATCAACTTATATAAAAAACATGATTCATGAATAACGAAATACATGAAGGAAACTGGTGCCAAAATAGCTATCAAAAACAAAATCAGTAGACCTAACCAGATTGTGAGCTACCGGATTCGCGACTTCTTCACATGAACAAAATTAACACTAGTGATACTAGATGGTAATAAATACTCCACTATTCATCGCAATCTATCCCAAACCAACACCCCTAAAGTTAGTATCAACATTCACTTTCACTCGCCTGATAATTGTCTTCACCTAATTCGGGATCCCATGTTCTGGTTTTGATGTCCCGCATTGCTCTTTGAGCATGACATCACCCGGCTTTGAACCCCCAACACTATAACAAGCATATACACAAGAGGAGTAAAAGTCTTTTTCAACATCATGTCATTTCCTGCTTTCTAAATGCCCCAAAATAGCATGATAAAGTTACTGTAAAAAAACTCCCATTGATTTTGAAAACTTTTATTGCTCTATACACTTTATCTTTCAAGCTGTTGATTGATACGAAATTTATCTTTCAGGTACTGAATTGCTAAAATTTCTTTAGAATATCGTGTGCATCAACAATTCCAATTCAACATCTTAACGAATGAAGTATAAAACAACATGTATTGAATTCTACATTGAATCTAAATCAATTTATTAATTCATATATCACATCTACTTGAGTTTTTGGTTCATGCATAATTATAGCATTATTTAAGAATTTCTTCATAAATAAATTATTTTAAAGTTTAATTAAGTGGTAAAATTTAACTACTGGATGTCCATGGATAAGTTATTATGGTAGGCTTTTCAAATTACTTTGTGTATTTGCTATTACTCTTAAATTATACATATATTATTTCAATCTATTTTTTATTGATTGCATACTTTATGTTCAATTTAGATCTAAACAGACCATCAACCGTTTACAATTCAACCATATGAAATAAATCAAGTTTTTCTATATATTCCGCTTACACTTGCGTGTGCTCTATATGTACACATTCACTTGAATTTTTTTAGAGGTAATTCCCTAAATAGGACTAAATCAATGTTGAATTGCACATATATGGCTCTCATTTTTTATAGGACCAAAATGCAACTGATTACACAAAAATGCCCTTAATGGAATTAAACGTGAAAAAAACCCTTCCCCCGGCCCCAACTGCCTCATTCGGCGATGCACATGGCCTGAACTCCAAACATAGCTAACACCTTCAGCAGCTTCCAAGCACGGCCACCGCTGTTGAGACTGTCGACGCAGCCAAGCGAGACCACCGCCGCAACCAAGGCAAACCACCGCCGCAACTAAGGCAGACCACCGCCGCAACCAAGGCAGACCGCCGCCGCAACTCTTACCCCTTCCTACTGCGAGACTGGAGCCATAGCTCAATTCTTCTCTAGAGTGTTTTCTTAATCATGTACTCATGTCTACCTCCTGTGGAGTGTATTTTATCAATTTCAGGGAAAATTGCAATTGTGATAACAATAATGACAAAAAATGACATTTCTACGTGCAAAAACATGGAATTTTCAGGTTATAAATCATGGCATTTTTACATTTTAGAGTCCAAAATGTGAAATAGGAGAAGAAAAATGAAGAAGCAATGTTGCAGAGAAATTCGATCAATTCAATGCCATAAAAATGCAACAATTTGTGAAATGTCAAAAATTTGGCATTTTCAAAGATGCAATGTTCCCATCTCCATAAAAATGCCATAAATGTGACATTTTTTACAAGCTGATAAAGATACACAATAATAAAATTTAGAGCTGAATGTTTTTGAACAAGAGGTTCAAAATTTCATACCTAACTATTTTGAATTCAAAAGTTTCAAAGCAAAAATTAAATTTCCAGTAAAAATCGAAAACATATTAGAATGAACTGACAAAAATTAATCATGAATGCAAGATGAGTAAAGAGGAGGAGGAGGAGGGGGAGGGGGGAGAGGGAGAGGAGGAGGAAGCGGAGGAGGAGGAGGAGGAGGAGGAGGAGAAGGGATTACCTCTAGAAGAGAATCGCTGGCCGGAGCCGGATCGCCGGAGTGGTGGGTGGAAGAGAATCTGAGAACTTGGGGAAGAGTTTTGCCGATGCGGTGAAGAAGATGTCGATTGACCGATCGCGGAGTAAGATGCAGAGATGAGATTTTATTAAAGCAGGGGGTAATTCGGGAATAAGGAGTCTTATTTAGGAATAATTAAACATTAACTCCCATTTAAGAATTTTGATCATAGTTTGGTCCTATATTTAGGGGTAAAAACTCATTTTTTTTATTTAACCCATCCACTTTCATATTATCAACCATATTGACCATGATTATTGTTGAATATGACTATTTATCTAACAAATTATCATGCCGGTCGATCATGCCCCTCAAACTGTGGTGCACCCTTTTTCTAGAAAAGCTTTTATTTATACTTTCTATTGTTACATAAACGTTATCATAAAAACTTTTTCTTACCACTTGTTTGTCTACTTTTATTTAGTTGTGGTTCTTTAACATTGACTACAGTAACATTATAAACAGCTCATATTTTGAAAATTTACATCAAGTAAAATGTACTAATGTTTCTCCCAATTCAATGTGTTTGTACATTGATAAACTAAATAACATTAATTAACTCCTAAAAAGGGTGGATGTGGTGTATTTCTTTGCACATACTTGAGCTCCTCTCATTGGATGTTGGTAACCTTAACATCTAATTGTCGATCGTGTAGCTAACTGAGGTGACCATTATTTAAATTAAATAATGTTTATGTAGTAGTTAATGTAAAATTAATGTAGAAGATTGGCAATCTAACCTATCTTTGAAATACGTAATATGGAGTATGATGTTTTTGTTTGAGATTTGACAAAGCCTCCTCCCCCGGGTAAATTATATCGTACCGCCGGTGGTACGTACATCCGGCGGTTTTTGCTTAGCATTAGGTTCGTTCGTTGTTTACTCTGTTTTCAGTTCTTTGTTTTCTTTTTTTGTTTTATTCGGTATCAACTTTTTGTTTTCTTTGGGGTCTTCCTTTTCAGGTTTTGTTTTCTTCTTTAACAATTTTTTGTTTTAATTTCAAATTAAATTATTTTGAAAATCTATAATACCCGTAGTATAAAATATTACTTAATGTCCCAGATTTTCTCTTTTTCCAATCAACTTTCTAACTTAGTTTTTTTTCTATATAAAATGTTTTAGGTATTTATTTTTTATTTTTCTATTTTTTATTTTAATTATATATCTTTATTAGTTATTATATACGGAGTATTGTGTTTTAATTACTCAATTTTGTTTTATACAAAAATGAGTACAAATAAATGTGAATGAGTAAACATTAATTATAAAAAGAACACGATTATATTTGTAATTCAATAAAAGAAAGTTTGATGCTCAATGAAAATGTTTTGATGTTCAATTAACAAAGTTTACGATTTCCATATCAATGTTCTTTTTGTAAATTATGTATGCTCATTTGGTACTGATGTTATGATCATTTTAAAATGTTATATCAATTCATATTTCAAGAGTTACATATTAAATTAGATTGAAGTAGGAGTTAATTACATATACGAGAGCACATACCATGATATTCAATTGCATGTTTTTAATAATCAATAGAGAAGATTTGATGCTCAATGAAAACGTTTTGATGCTCGCTCAACTAAAAAAACTTATGATTGTCATACTAATGCTCATTTTATAACATACTAATGAGTTTTTGAATTTTTTAAAACTCATTTTGTAAATTATGTATGTTCATTTAGTATCTCTGTTATGCTCATTTTTTAAATGTTTTAGCAATGCACATTTCAAAAGTCTCATATTACATTAGATTTATATAAGAGTTGATTATAGACACGAGACCACAAATCATTATACTCAATCGCAGATTCTAATACTCAATAATGGGGATTTAATGCTCACAAAAAATGTCTTGTTGCACAACAACAAAAAATATTACAATTTTCATATAACTACTCATCTTGTAAGTTACACATGCTCATTTGTATAGGTCTAATGCTCATTAATAGTTCATTAATGCTCATTTAATAGAAATCGTGATTTTCATCAATCTCAATAGAGAAGTTTTGATGTTGAATGAAAATGTTGTGATGTTACATATGCTCATTAATACTCATGTTGTAAGTTACATATGCTCATCTGATACTCATTTTATGCTCATTTTCTAAATGTCATATCAATGCATTTTTTAAAAGTATTATTTTATGATAGACTCCTAATACTCAACATAATAGGTTTGATGCTCATTAAAAGTTCATTATTGCTCATTCACAAGATACTATGATTTTCATCTCAATAGCAGATGTTTGATGCTCAATTAAAATGTCGTGATATTTAACTAACAAACCTTACGGAAAAAAATAACAAAAAGAAAGTGAATTAGAAGTTTGTAAAGCAGAGATCACGATTCTGAATATTAGACTCCTAATACTAAACAGAATAGTTAG